TTGATATGGCTTATTCAGCTGTTAGTGAACGAACTGTATACAATGTATTAAAGGAATACAGGGATAATAAAGCAATTTCAACACTCCAAACTTATCAATGGAGAAGAATTAATTATTGGAACAGGTACAAGTTATTTGTAAATACCTACCTCAACTTCTTACTAATTTTTTACTTAAATATATGTAAATGTACTCTAAATGAAAAGTAAGTTTAATAAGAATTTCCCTTACAACATTGAGAGGGATCTATGTCCGCCTTTAAGTGTTAGGTTAACCCTTTATTTTTCACTGCACCGGTTTGTGACCCAAAAAGATTCTAGAAAGTCACAATTTCAAATTTTGCGTTTATAGAATGATTTTATATCATTAATAAAAAAATTAACATTATAAAATGATTAGTATGTAACAAAACGAACGAACCTTTAGAATAGAGTCACTAAAGGAAGTGCTTAATAAGACAGGAAACATGTTGGTATTACGAATGAAATGAAGTTATTACTAACGTTGGAAAATTTCAATATTTTCCATATTAATACGATTATATAAATTGAAAGTAATCGAAGTGATTAGAAAATTTTAATGGTTTTACAAATATTTTCTTGTGCAAAAAATAATGCGTTTCTAACTGTGTTCTATCTTAGGAATGTTGCCTCTTAACGGTTTTTTTCCAATTTCACCGTGTATTTGCGCACGTTTTACCCGTATCTCTAACCTTCAAGCGATAGCCTGTTCGAATCTCTTTTTTTCTGTCCTCAACTTATCTCGTTATCGTTACATTTTATTTTGTCGGGTTTTAAAGTTATTTGTTTATTAAAATATGCAACAAATGTGAGATCACCACATATTTCAATAAATTAGAGGAAAGAAATTAACAAAAAAAAGGCAAACTTTGTACTGAACTACAACAAGCAATTAACCTCAATGTAAGTGTACAATTTATAAAATTCCGTCATAGAATCGACCGTTTTGCTTATTTTTCTTTTCAAGTTTTACTCATTCTGTTTCCATTGCGCAATTTACATACAAACCATTATCTATTTCGTTTTCATTATCAACGAGGTTAAAACTATTACGAAATAACTGTAGAAGTGAATTTTCTATATTATTTGTTAGATTTGTTTAGAATCGAGTTCTACTCTTAAAGAAATTTTCGAGTAAACAAAACTTATTTCTTAATCAGAAACCAATGTTTTTGTCTCGTTATCAGACGATTAGAGAAAAAAGTTTTAAATCATTTTTAGACGTCAAAATACAAAGTTCAAAAAAACAAAAATTAATTAAAATTTATTCATTTTCAATTCTATAATTTATCTGTTTTAATCAAGTTTTTATTTTGAAGTTACATTTATTAAAGTTGAAATTTGAATTCATTCATTTATTATTTTTTTTTTACCCCAATTCATGATGTGAAAAATCATGAATCATGTTTCTAAAAATTTTGAAGAATTTTGAATCTATCACTATGACTAGAATTAACAGTAGGTCGTATTTCTAATCCTTTATCCACCCAGAAGTCATGATTGTTTTGCAAAATCTAGAATAACTCTATATTTTTATATATGATCAAAAGCTTAGCATGTGTCTGCAGATAATTCTATGTTGAAAATTAAACGTCACCTAGAACAATGTTGCCAGATTGTTTATCAAATTTACACTCCCCCGAGTTACAATTCTACTTTTTTGGGTGCTTCAGTGTCTTACCCAAATGTATTTTGATTACATATACTTTGTTTTAATCGCAAACAAAGAATAGACAATTGGACGATTTCATTTCAGCCACATCGATAAAGATTATTGGTTAAGGTTAGTTTTCTTTTAAAATGTCAATCATTCCGAGAAAGAAGTTGGATAAGGTTAGTTTTCTTTTGAAATGTTTGCTGCGCTCACTGCCCTTGCAGTCCCTACAAGAAGAAGATAAGCTTCTTTACTAAAATTTATTTTGCTGGTTAATTGAGGTTCCATTTCATTTTTTTGTTTTTCCGAACAAATGTTAATTAATATAAGTACGAAGGCTTTCACGGCCGGTGTGAATTAAACTAAAATTAGAACAATTTTCGAACGTGAAAACGTTACTAATCCGTCCAATTTAATTTAGATTATCGATTTTTTGAAAGACGGTCTTTCTAATCGATTGACCTTAACGGCCCTATTCGCCTTTGCCTAAATTCTCCAATATTTATAGTGTTTATGTACAGGGTGTCCCAATTTCGATGTCCGCATAGGCTATCTCCGAAACTCAAAGAGATAGAAAAAAAGTAGCTTACATGTCATGATCTCGTTTTTCGAGAAAATGCTAATTCCGAAAACTCCGAACAGCTATCGTCTTTTGTTTTCGCCCTATCGGCAAAAACTGAAAATTTTGCAAAAACGACAATCGCGAATATCTCACTTATTATCAAAGATGGAGTATTATAAATAAAACATTATATGGGCAACTTTTTACGAAGAATTCAGTGGCGTAGGTAGAATTTTTTTCCCATCTTTTATTTTCGAGATTTTAGACGTAACTTTATTTTTTTAAATGGAAACCATAGTTGGCTATGACTTAAAATAATTTGTTATTTTCTTCTGATAACAAATATATATAGTTTGTGGGGTATATTTCTTATAGTTATTGAATAATTAACAAAAATTCATTTTGTTCCATCTAAATCTAATGTATGTATTTAAAAGTTAATGTTGCTATGGTGATAACCATACATACTATGATGGAATATAATGTATCAATTTTTTTTGTTCTTTCTAAAACTATTGTATGTATTTAAAACTTAATGTTGTTATGGTGATAACCATACCATGAGGGAAAGCATTGTTTCCAATTATTGCCAAAGTTTGTAGCAAGGACAGTAGAATCTAACAGGACTGCTACATCCATTGTATTTTTGTAGTCGACTACGGGTTGGTTGCCCGCACTCTACGTCACACTATTTGCCACGCCTGATAACTGTCTATGTTTTTAGAGGTTATATGATAGACATTAATACGTCTAAAAACATAAAACTTCAAAACTAATATGAATACGTCTAGGATATAACCTCTAAAAACACACAGCAAACGCATAGACCATAACAACAGCTGGGCGTGGAAAATGGTGTGACGTAGTTTGCGGGTAGGCTGTCACAACAATGGATGTAGCAGTCCTGTTAGATTCTACTGTCCTTGAGTTTGTAGTAGTATTTAAAAATTCACTAACAACTCTGGCATTATGTGCTGGTGCTCCGTCATATTGAAAATATATCATTTGAGACATATTTAGTGGCAAATTGTCGACCAAAGGCTCAATGTGCTGCCTTAATATATTGAGGTATTTCCCTGAGTTTAAGTTTTTATGGTAGATACTATATGCCAAAATTCTATTATCTAAAAGGGCACACCATACATTGAACCCCAATCTTCTTTGAACACTCAGAGACTTCATCGGTCCAGATAACATTTTGAACAAACAGCAGATTATTTAATTTTTTTAAATATCATCTACAAAATTCTAATCTTCGATTGACATCTCCGGCACGTAAATAATGAGTTAGCCCCGCTTTGTATGGTTTATACTTATTTTTCTTTCATATTCGGGAGCAGCGGCTTTTGGGTCAGACGTCTTGTTGCAATTTCTCTTGCAGGTCATTTTGGTATGTTTTTGTATGTGGTTTGGGGAAGGACCAAATATCTATTAAATTTTCTGCTAACCGGCTGAAGGTTCTTACGTGCGGTTGTCTTCTTTCTGGATATCTTGTGAAATAAAATTCCGCGGCTAACGTCGCATTCTTATCTGATAACATATAGCATTCCATCATGTTACATTTTTCATAATTTTCGAAATTCATTGTAAAGTTTTATTCAGTTTTGTTATACTTTGACACTTAACATGCTGGTGCATCGTACCAGCACATAATGCCAGAGTTGTTATCGAATTTTTAAATACAAACTTTGGTAATTATTTGATACATTATGTTCCATCATAGTATGTATGGTTATCACCATAGCAACATTAACTTTTAAATACATACATTAGTTTTAGACAGAACAAAATGAATTTTTGTTAATTATTCAATAACCATAAGAAATATACCCCACAAACTATATATATTTGTTATCAGAAGAAAATAACAAATTATTTTAAGTCATAGCCAACTATGGTTTCCATTAAAAAAAATAAAGTTAGGTCTAAAATCTCGAAAATAAATGATGGGAAAAAAATTCTACCTACGCCACTGAATTCTTCGTAAAAAGTTGCCCATATAATGTTTTATTTATAATACTCCATCTTTGATAATAAGTAAGATATTCGCGATTGTCGTTTTTGTAAAATTTTCAGTTTTTGCCGATAGGGCGAAAACAAAAGACGATAGCTGTTCAGAGTTTTCGGCATTAGCATTTTCTCGAAAAACGAGATCATGACATGAAAGCTACTTTTTTGCTATCTCTTTTAGTTTCGGAGATAGCCTAGGCGGACATCGAAATTGGGACACCCTGTACTTTGAAGAGCCACAAAATATAAAGCTATTTAGAAACAGAGATGTTTGGAGATGGACTTGCTCCAAGGGTATCAATTTCAACAGTTGCGCTCATATCTCGTATTTTATTGTTAAACAAATTGCAAGATTGGTAAAAATCCGAATTTACTACATCATCAAGTGTTTTACCATATTTGCCAAGAAAATAATGGCGCCAAATAATGAAGAAAATTTTCCGTATTCCCTCTGTGATTTCTGGAACTTTTCTTATCCTTTCATATTTATCGTTAATAGAAAGAAATTGTTTAACAGTACATGAAAAATATCATAAAACGCGTTCTAGATCTGATTATTTACGATTTTTTCGCGGCCCAACAAATAATATTTGTTCTGGCACGAAAGGATGGTTCAATGCTAAAATCATTTACCATATCAAATAATTTTTAAACAAATTTTATACTACATATTTGGTTGTACTCAACAATTTTAATTCTAGTCTTTAAAACATTTTCGCTAAAACAATAATTAATATCTTTCTTTTATTTTCAGTGCGAATAGATCTGGTTTAACAGTGACAACAAACAATCCCTCCTCATTACCAATAGTGAACAATTCAACCCCAATTTCAATCGTGGCTCCAGTGTCATCATCAATAAATAATATTGGCGGTGGTGCTAGTAATAATATTACGAATTCAACTTCGTCGTTTATGTCTTATCCAACCGGGACTACACAGTCTACGGTTTCTATCACAAACCGGCGGGTGTTGAGGCCGAGAACTGAACCGAGAAGTTACGTTGAGAGTCCCGACGTTGTGATAAACGGCCTGGACAAGCCGAGGACCAACGGAAATCTTGATTACAGTAGCGATTCGAGCGAAGGAGAAATGCCACCGTTAGCACCTATCAAAGAACTTAGTCCATCAGAATTAAGACACAGGTAAAAAAACTTGTCAATAAAAATTGTTAAATTCATTTTTAAATAATAGATAATCGGCGACTACACGATTAAAAAATAAATAATTGAACGCTTTGAAATGAAAATTTAAAAAATTCACAATTTGATTGAAATTTCCGCACATTTTTAATTAATAATGGGTTGGGTTTAGATTAAAAAAAAGTATGCTCAGGTCCCCAGATCCCAGACAAGCAAATGACGAACCACAATATTGATTTGTCGGAGCGGTAATATGTGCAAGGGTTGGAGCTGCAAAGTGTGGAGAGGAGGGGTACAATGAACACAACAAAGGATGGAATACACTTCACCTTTCACGCCGCGCGTTTCAAGCTTCCCCTTCAAATAATTGCTACAAGCGAGATAAAAAAAAAACTTTGAAAAAAAAATTATGAATATTTTTATCAAAAATAATTGCAATTATTTGATAATCGAATTTGTTATTCACGTCATCGATAAACAATTTAAAAATGTTTCTGCGTTTAGTAACAGTGAATAAAGAAATTCCACAATCTTTATTAGTACATGTTAAGGAATTTTTATTAATAACTTTTCGTTTTAATTTGTACAACGGTAAAAATCAATATGAAACAATGAGAAATTAATAAAACGAATTAATAATTCAGAGAATTATTTCTCTTTTCCATCTAGGTTAATGTTCCTTTTTAATAAATTACAATACCGTTACTCCTTTATAGTGTAAGTAGTCTAGGAACTACGTCGATAATTTAAAAAAACGACAAGGAAACGATTTATACGTGTGTGCCTAATATGAATTATTCATAAATATAAAATAAAATTGAATTTAAAAAAAATCAATAAAATTAAAACTTTTTTTCTTTCTACAGAGAAAGAGGGTTGAGAAGGTTACGAGAAGAACTTCGGGTGGAAGAAATGAAACTTGTTTTATTGAAAAAGCTAAAACAGTCGCAACAGTTGAAAGAGAACGTAGCCGTTTTACCACCGAACATCCCGCACTCTGCCCTACCCCCAACGGGTCTTCCAAGCGGCTTGAGCATCACCCCGACGACGGTCAAGGTGCCCACCAACAAAACCACCCCGTTACCGCAAGCGGCTCATTCGAGAAATTTACACAAGACTGGACAAAATGCTGTACCACCTCCATTACGTGGAGTAAGTTTAATTATTAATAAAAACTTATTAAAAGAAAATATTTTAAAATCTCATAAAAATAAGATTATATTTTGTAATGAAGCTAATATTGAATTTTATGTAATATGACATATTAATGAGAAAAATATAAAATGATGAATGGATGCTTGGCTGATCGAGCAGAACGCAACAATGGCGAATGGTAGTTTAGTACATAATTAGGAGTTGAAAAAGAAAACCATACCATTGGCTGGAACATGCAAATTGAGTAATGAGCGAATTGTTACAATTCATTTTCAGTACATTATAGTGTTCCCAACCTTTGATCATTATTTGCCAAATGCTTATAATTTGTTTTTAATACATAATATAGACATTGTCTTTGATAATGTTGTGGCAGAATCTGTTTACTTTAACCGCCTTACGGTTGAAGATGCATTCTTATGAGGTGTGTGTCACCTTAAAGGGGATCAGAAGCAGATAGATAGTATTGTTGTTGATATACATTGTTACTTCTATTTACCATAATAACATATACAAGACAAGGGGAAATAATTTGTTGCTGGTTTGAGCATAACCTGATTTGATTTTTTTGATGACTGACTGGTTGTAGAAGAAATATAATAAAGATCTTATTAGGAATTGAAAATATAAGACAAACCAATCTTAACAAAAATATTTTTATTATTGATGACACAAGTGTTCTATTGTAATTCTAAATTTTTATATTTTGTTATGTGCACTTCTACCTACACTCCTGTAATTGTCATAATCATAGACAATAATTGATAAAGTTGGATCAACACTAAAGGCATCTGAAATAAATAACGTACATTAAGTGTAAGGGAAAAATTAGACCAAAAAACATTTATGAAAGAAGTATAGTATGTCTATAGGTATATGAAAAGTACCTATAGAAAATATTTGAAATGAGACTGGAAGAACAAAAGAAAAGACGGAAACTCTTTATTACATGGAAGGTTGACATAAGAAGATACCAACAAAACGAGGAAAAACCATTTATAATATACAGGGTGATTTATAACATAAGGAGCAGATTAAAAGAGCAAGTACTAGGGGCCAAACTGAAGATATTTTCTTAATAATGTTTTGACTACAACGTAATAATCACAAAGATATAGAGCATTAAAGTTGAATTAATTGCCCAGCATTTCTTACGATATACGGTATTACACTACGTTTAAATTCAAACTGCGAATATTTTGGGGGTACTTAAGCAATGCCTGATTAGCACCAATAATAAAATCTTTGTAATATGGCAGTTACGGCTATTTAAAAATTTGTTAAATCACTCAAAAACTGGTGTGTTTTTTGAGAACCGCTAATACCATGTTTTTATTGCTGTCAATCCAGTTGACTTGGTTACCTAGCAACGGACATGTCATTTAATTTTAATAATCAATGTCATTTAACGTCAAAATTAGAATTTTTACATCAAAAAATACAATGGTAATGTACAGTAACAAAGAATACGTAGATATGCTTATTATTTATGGAGCAGCTGGAGAAAACGCTGCACACGCAAGACGTCTGTATTCCAAATATACAGATCCCTTCTGAAAACACTTTTCTTCGGTTAATCCAGCGGGGAAGAGAGAGGAAATCTGCAACCTAAGAAAGGTCTTGGTGGCGGTAGACTAAACAGACATGGAGTGAATGTGGAAGAAGAAATTCTAGAAATTGTGGAAGCGGATCGAAGCACGAGTACTCGTCAAATTTCTCACCAACTCGAGGTATCCCAGAATTTTGTTTGGCGTACGTTGAAAAGTAACGGTTTACACCCCTATCATTTTCATAAAGTGCAAGGACTGACTCCCGCTGACTATCCTTTGCGGTTGCAATTTTGCGAGTGGCTACTAAATCGTACCAACAGAGAAGCAGATTTTGCGGACAGTATACTGGTAACGGATGAATGCTGTTTTACCAGAAATGGTGTTCTAAATGTTCACAATTCCCATGTGTGGTCGGACGAAAATCCACACGTTATTCGTCAAGGCTCTTTTCAACAACGATTCAGAGTGAATCTATGGGCGGGAATTGTGAACAATACGTTAATAGGAATACAATACCTTTCGAATTACCAGGAACTCTTAATGGAACTTCTTATTTACAGTTTTTACAAGAAAATCTGCCAGTACTCCTGGAAGATATTCCGCTACTTATGCGACGTGAGATGTTGTCCTGCACATTTTAGTCGTAATGTACGAGATTTCCTCGATAATGCTTTTCGGCAAAAGTGGATTGGTCGAGGTGGACCTATTCCATGGCCACCACATAGTCCCGATCTTAACCCATTGGACTTTTTTTTATGGGGATTCATGAAGGATAGAGTATATGCCACTGAGGTTAATACAATCGACCAACTACGACATCGCATCCTGCCGCTACAGAGGACATACGTCCACGATTTCCACGATTATCGTTAAATTGGATTCGTCGTGCGCAGTTGTGCGTCGAAATGCAAGGACAGCACTTTGAACATATGTTATAAAGAGATTATTATTATTATTATTGTTATTTTCTTGTTTTAGAGATTTTGTAATTTTGCATTTAAAACATTATTATTATCCGTTTCATAAATTAACATCAATTATTTCTTTTCATAAATTACGTATTAAAACTAAACAATTAAATTGTCTACTTTGACAGCTCCTTCAAAAATGAGGATGGCGTTGACAAGTATTTTAATTGTTCTTTAGTGAATATCAGCGGTTCTCAAAAGTTGACGCTAACTTATTTAAAAAATTAACATGCGATATCTATGTAACTATTAAGATTTTAACGAAACATTATTAAGAAAATCTCTTCAGTTTGACCTCAAGTACCTACCCATTTAGTCTCCTCCGTATGTTATAAATCACCCTGTATGTTATAGATGGGCCAAAGCCATATGGGATATAAAGAAGTGGATGATTTCCAGAATTTATATTTTGTTGTGTTGAAATTATTTTCATCGATTAATTTAACTTAAATCGTTCCATTTAATTTTTAATGAAAATTAATAAATTTTTATTTTTTTAGCAACCTCCACCATCAAATAGAAATAGTCTTCACGTGACAGCTGTAACGGGTTCGCCCCATAACAGAACGAGTCTCTCGGTTCCGCAACCTCCACAAAGATCGTCTTTGGGCCGACCCCCGAACTTTCCCGTTGGTATCAAAGATTTATCACCTTCGGTTACGATAACGCCGGCGCCACCACAACCGACTAAAGTAAGTGTTATATTTGATTTTGTTGTTAGATAGTTTATAACATCTTTTTGTGTACACAATTAATATGGAAAAGGAATGTTTTTTTGTTGTGTAATTCAATAATATTCATGGTATTTTTGATTTATTTTATTGCTTGCTCAGTCTGGAAACGGATTGGACAATAAGAATATTGGAGCAAGTAATAACATGCCTCAAACGACTCCAATACCTGAACAGGTAAAACCTAAGTTTATAAAAATGCCAAGGAAGATATTTACTTAGAGTTTGCTTGAAAAATATATATATTTACTTTATAAAGCTAAATTCAAATCGTGAATTTATAAAATTTTCCATCTCTACTTTTGACCATAAATTTTATGACTTTTTTTTTTAAGTTAATGTTTTTGTGATTTTTTTTAGGAAAGACAAAGAGATCAAGAAACGCCAGCTCAACGACAAGCCGCCGCAAAATTGGCGTTACGCAAACAATTAGAAAAAACTCTACTACAAGTATGTTTTATTTTGTTTCCTTTTCAAATTAAGTTTTATTTTTATTTCTCAAATTTTCCAAACTTTTTTTCATTTCATTTCCGATATACAATTTAGTTCAGTTCCTTCTCGCTTTGATTATTTTGGCAGAGTGTTGTGGAAACTTTCCGTTCCTTTTAGTTTTATCTATTTATTATTGTTAATTTTTTCAAATCTACCGGAATTTCTTTAAAAGCTGCTATCAAAAATATCTCTTCATAGTGAAGTGGTTATTTTAAACGATTTATTTTCGTTATATATAGTTTAAACGCTTCCTTCATACCCGTTTATTTTTTGTAAGTTTTTTTATTTGGGCAACAATTTTTTTAATTTTTTCTCTTACACCTAACCTGAAAAGAAGTGATCAGAACGTTTGCTTAGTGCCCGCAATTTTGTTTGACTTGAATTTTCAGCAATCCCACAATCAGCACAATAACTTAGTAGGCTCTGGATTAGAGAAGGCTCTGCCAGAATACATGAAAGCAAGTATTTTTTTGTCCTCTCTCTCTAAAAATCAAAATTCCCTATAATTAAAAAAATAATTAAAAACCTTTCAAGTAATAAAACTTTTGCACATTTAATTGTATTTTTGGTTTGTTCTCGTTTTATTTTAGATACCGCCACCCAAACCCCCACCGCCAGAAATGCATTTCATACCGAATCCGAGCAACACCGAATTCATTTATTTGGTTGGCCTCGAACACGTCGTTGACTTTTTAACGAAGGAAACGAAAATGCCGCCAGCACCCCAACCGTTCTCGTGCAGTCAGTGTGGGTGTGATTTCACGCCGGTGTGGAAATGGGAAATGAGAGGAAACAAATCCAGAGGTAAATTAAGGAAAAAAATTTATCTATTTTGACATCTAGGCTCGTTACTACCATCTTCTGGTTAAGCTATCTAAGGGATTATTACCGTGGTTACGGCTATTTTACGCGCTCTGATTGGCTAGTAGATGGGTTTATCTATAAGATAAATTTAACTAAAAGATGGTATTAATGGACCTTAATGTAAGACTTTATTCAAGTAGTTGTAATTGTAATAGATTGATGTGTTTGTATGAATCACATTATTTTTTAACAAAGTTTATAGTAGGGGTTTATAATTAAGGTTTTGGACACAGTTTTGGTATAGTAGACGCCACGAGAGCTGGCAGTAAATCATCGTTTTCCGCTGTTACAAATGCCATACGTAGTAAATTAAAATTCACAAACCGCTAGAGAGTAATGTGTGTTAGAAAAAGATAGCATTAGTTTAATATGTCTGCTGTACAATTCAAATAGCCACATCGAAAAAGTACGTCTGTTCTTCTAAGGGATGTAACTCTATAATTATAACCTCAAATCGAAACGTCTTATGAATCTGTTGGTGTTTTCACAAGCCGAAAATGAAATAAATTAATAATTAATGAATAAATTATGAACCACTGTTTAAATAAAACTTACTTAACCCTTTGTGTCCCAAGAAGTCAAACATTTTGAAACTTTGTGACAGAATCAGACGGAATTAAAACGCTATCAAAATACACTCAGTAAAGGCCTTTGGAATAAAATTTTAGCAAAATATGCAATCCCCCTATTTTCGCATAGTCTAAGTGTCAAAAAAGATGCTAATTCAAAAATTCCTGGAAACCGTGTTTATTGAAATTAAGAAATAAAACTTATTTTAAATTGAAGCTTGAAGCTTTCTGTTTAAATCGATGTATAACAATCGATGGGTTGAATTAAAAAAATATTGAGAAAAAGAGTATTGAGTTAAAACTAACATTTTCGTATAACCTAAAAGTGTCAAAAAAGATGCTAATTTAAAAATTCCTGGAAGCCGTATTTATTGAAATTAAGGAATGAAACTTATTTTAAATTAAAGCTCAAAGCTTTCTCTTTAAAATGATGTATAATAATTGTTGGGTTGGATTGGAAAAATATAGAGAAAAAAAATTTTGAAACAAAACTTACATTTTCGAATAACCTAAAAATGTTAAAAAGATGCTAATTTAAAAATTCCTGTAAGCCGTACTTATTGAAATTAAGGAATGAAACTTATTTTAAATTAAAGCTCAAAGCTTTCTCTTGAAAATGATGTATAATAATTGTTGGGTTGAATTGGAAAAATATTAAGAAAAAAAATGTTGAAACAACACTTTTTTAAATTTAAAAGAGTCAAAAAAGATGCTAATTTAAAAATTCTTAGAAACCATGTTTATTGAAATTAAGGAATGAGACTTATTTTAAATTTAAGCTCAATGTTTTTTTCTTTTTAAAATGATCTGTAATTTTCACACCTAATAACCTTTTAAAGTATTTGATAAATAAATAAATAATTACATAAATTTTATTATAAATTAATATTAACGATTTTTCGCTGTTTAACCTCTCCTAAATTTGACAATGTTTGACATATAACCTCCATTACTAACCTAACATACATTTAAATGTATGTGGTGAAATAATCTAAGTCGTACGTCTATATCTTGATTCATACCATTTTTAAACGTCAAGTCACTGCCAGCTCTCATGGTTTCTACTATATTAGCATAATATTCTGTGCTTTTAGAGAACTCTTCTGATATTTCCTGTGTTTACATTTACATGCTATCCTTTTAGGATCCATTAGCTACACAGAGAATGTGATTACATTCTTAATTACAATCTCCATGAAGAATGTGATTACATTCTCCATGTTCAGTTCCTCCTCTACTCCTGGATGCAATTTCTTCTCTAACGCCTGCTGGTATTTGATCCTTTCCGTTTGTTCCCTCAGTCTGTCAACATTAATTTTTAGTTCCTCTGCTACATTTGTTTTGGTTTACGCATACTAAAAGGTGGTCTGGCTCCAGTTCTCTATAAAAACCAGCCTTGACACTATAATAGAGTATAGAGTAATTGGCAACCTACCTACCCAGTGTCTGCGATCCATTAGATTAGAAAACATAATAAAAAAAATAAAAAAATTAAGGTTGATATTAATATTTAAAAATTAAATTGCTATCTTCATTGTTGCTAACTTCGGGTTTAATGTTTTTTATTCTAACTTTTTTGTTTTTTGAGATAAATGCATCATGTTTAGACTCATTTTATATAGTTCGTTTTTTTTCTATAATACTTATCAATGTAAATTATTTAGGGTTTCTGTTGGTATTATCTAGGACCCTTATAAAATGTATGTTGTTTTCATGATTTTTAGTAACAATGTCAGTAACTAATTAATTGAGGTTAAAATACTAATAAATTTTTAGATAAATACGATTTTGACGAAGTACATATTTGTTATAAAAACGTGCTACAAAGTAATTAAATAGAATAAAATACCTTTTCTAGGTAAGTAAATGGCAAATAAACACCCCACAACACTTTTTATGCACCTTTTCTTTTTGAATAACGAAAGCTCAAACGTCAATGTGACATATTTACTTCAAAACATGATAAAACAAAACTCCCTGTTAATTTTGCCAATTTTACAACAATTTGACAGGTATTATAGAAAAAAAAATGAACTATAGGTTTTTTAAAACAGAATACATCATGAAAGAATACCATGAAGTTGCCCATTTGTATATTATATGATAACTAACTTCAGGTTTAAAATGTCAACCTCAATTTTGAACCTATATTTGATATATTATTTATTTGTTGTTTTTTTCAGGAAAAGATCCTTCAAAAGTTATTTGTGAGCAGTGTGTAACAACTAACGTTAAAAAAGCACTAAAAGCCGAGCACACCAATAGACTGAAAACTGCTTTCGTTAAAGCATTACAACAGGAACAGGAAATTGAGCAAAGATTAGCTCAGGTAATACTTTGTGGTAATACCCGAAACTTTCTCCTATTACACATTTATGAAAATAAGTATACAATCTAACCTTAAACAACAAAAAAATGTTTTAGGACCTTTTCCTCTCCTAAAAATTCCGAAATTTTCACTGGATACAAGGTAATCCATTGTTGTCCATAACCTCATTATTTATATAATTATATATAATAATAGAAATGTATTTAATTTTTTGGTTTAGAATGGAGTGTTTACGTCGAGCAGTCCTGCACCGTCTCCTGTAACTCCAGAAGCATCCGTGCCAAAGTCCGTAACGCCGACTCCGACACCAAGACATGCAGCGACACCCCCAGCGCCTCCTTCCACACAACAGACGCCGCCACCTTCACGAAGTTCTCACAGTTCCGCGCAGGATAAATTAAATATAAGCAATGCGGCGACAATGCAAGCGTTACAACAACAAATTTTAAGAAGTAAGCAATTTTTTATTTACAAATGTTACTATACATTTTATAATTACTATCAGAAGGTGAAAGACGAAATGTGGGTTATATGCATGGTGAATAGTACAAAATTAAAAAGTATCAATCGTGAGACATACAGGGTGTCTCAGCGAGACCGGTCATTAGACGTTTCTGGGGTTCTGGCGAAAATAAAAATTTGAGAATTCAGACTTAAGTATTATCAATTACGATCTCTTCGTCTAAAATATTTTCAGATTTCTTGCACTTCCGGTTATACCGGAAGTCGCCACCAACTTTATTTTTTTAAATGGAACACCCTGTATATTTTTACATATTTGGATTTGTCTGTTTTCAAGGTTTATAAATAACTTTACTTTTTGCAATTTGATTCGGTCGTTCTCGAGTTATTCGAATTTTTCTAGAAAAATCTGCTCCAGCAGACATTTGTTCAAAAAATCAGAAAACACTCAATTTTTGGGATATCAATTTAGGATTGAGAACATGCTTAAGCAACATGATGGAGTATGTTTTGGTGCCGAGAACTGCGGTCTAGAACGTTTGATCACTTTACTATGGCACGTTAACTTTTCAAAATTTGGAAGTACCATAACTTCATTTTTTTAAATGGCACCCCCCATATTTTATTTTTTAGTCGTCTTCGGTGTCTCATTCTACATCTTTTATATCCCATATGGCCCATACCTAATATTAATAGTTTGGGAGATAATTAGGGTTTTTTGAAAAATGCACACATATCATATGGATATTTAGCCTAGTGTGCCATGAAAAACAAGCCTTCTCAATGAGTTCTTGTCAAAGACTCACTTGTTTACGTCACTTGATGCATGTGAGCTAATAATTATCTGTTATGTCCCTTAATATTAGTACTGAAACGAGTTAAAATCGATAACAATAACGAAAGTAATATTTACACAAATCAAGAAATTCTTAATTTATTTTTTTTGCATGAAAAGCGCGACAAAGTTCGTAGTATGATTCCCAGATCTTCTTTGGCAGCTCGAATTGAGGTGTTGGGACTGGGCTCGAAATAAGCCAAGGTATTCACCTCTTCCGTTGCATTATCTACTACATTTTTTGGTCAGTTTAACACGTGATTAATTCGTCCAAAATGCAAAAAATTTGCTTCTATTCCTCTAAATTTACCTTTTGTCATCGGAGATAAATGTGGATAATTTTCATTAAACATTCTGCAAGTTCTACTAAGAACTTTGTCGCACTTTTCGTGCACAAAAAATAAATTATGGATTTCTTCATTTGTATAAACATTATTTACGTTATTAATATCCATTTTAACTGGTTTTAGACTCACAAGCATCAAACAACCTAAATTAGACTTTGACGTTTATCAATAAGTCATTAAACATTTGTTTTCCATGGCACACTAGGTTAATATCCATATGATATGTGAGCATTTTTCAAAAAACCCTAATTATTTCTCAAACTATTAATGTTAGGCATAGGACATATGGAATATAAAAGATGTAAAATGAGACGCCGAAGACGACTAAGTAATAAAATATGGGGGGTGCCATTTAAAAAAATGAAGTTATGGTGCTTCCAAATTTCGAAAAGTTAACGTATCATAGTAAAGTGACCAAACGATCTAGACAGCCGTTCTCGGCACCAAAACATACTCCATCATGTTGTTTAAGCATGTTCTGAATCCTAAATTGATATCTCAAAAATTGAGTGTTCTATGATTTTTTGAACAAATGTCCGCTGGAGCAAATTTTTCTAGAAAAATTCGAATAACTCGAGAATTGCTGGTTCAAATTGCAAAAAGTAAAGTTATTTATAAACCTTCAAAACAGACAAATCCAAATATGTAAAAATATACAGGGTGTTCCATTTAAAAAAATAAAGTAGGTGGCGACTTCCGGTATAACCGGAAGTGCTAGAAATCTGAAAATATTTTAGATGAAGAGAACGTAATTGATAATACTTAAGTCTGCATTCTCAAATTTTTTGTTTGGCCAGAACCCCAGAAACGTCTAATGACCGGTCTCGCTGAGACACCCTGTATAATGAATTTGAATGATTTTGATCGCTTTCTATTTATTTTAAATGTTATTAATTTGTTTTGTAGCTCTTCAAGCTGGCGGCCCTCAAGCGCAAATGTTATCATTCGCACCGTTCCTATATCCCTATCAATTGGCGATGGCGCAAGCGGCAGCCGGAAAAGGTATGAATCCATCCTTGTCGGATATGCAGAGAGCCGCGGAACTCCAAAGACAGTATCTATTGGATATGATTCCACCACAGTCGGGTCAACGACACAATTGGAAGACATGATGTGGTAGTGACACGAATTAGATGAAAAACTCTTGATGAAAAAAAAAAATTTTTTTTATTTGGGGCACGGATTCGGTGATGTATACTTAAAAAGTGTTCTCGGATTATTAACAAGAAAAAACGTTGAGGGTTAAAAATATGAAATACGGTTGTCGTATTACGTTTCCGATTTATTTTAGAAACAAGTTTAAATGTTTGTTTTCTAATTTTTTACGTTCGTTTTATTCCTTGGTGCTTTTTGTTTTCTTATTATTACAATTTTTTGCTGATATTTTTTTAGGATTGTATATATTATTTCTTTTTGTTTGAGGAGTACTCCTTGGAATAGTTTCTTTGGTTATTTATTTTTATAATTAATTTGTAAACAAATTAAAGAGAAGGAAAGAAAGAAATGCTGAAATATTACATTGTCACTGAAAAAATAACTATATTTGTATAAGTAATTGAATTCTTTTTAGGGAATAATCTTATAATAAACGTTAACGTGTAAGGAGTAAATTAATATTTTCTCTTTTCTAAGAGAATGAACTGTGTAAATACATTTTACGATATAAACATTAAAAAAATGTGTTTTTTACAACATTGTACGATAGTTAATGAAATAATTAATAATAAAAAAGGTGCGTAAACGTAAGTTATTTGCATAAATTTATTTTTTAGATTAACTCGATGTACAATATTATTTTTTCCTAATTGTGACTGTAAGAGACGCAGCTCTTTAATGTTCAATACTATTCTTTTTTTAGACGTATCGTCTACATCCTTTAGTTAAAATTATTCTTTAATTAATTCTTCCCACTTCCTTTTAATTAAAGGAAAATTAAACGAAAGGTCTTGAGTTCATCAAAAATTAATTCAATATTATCGAAAGAAAAGTTCTGTTATTTATTTCTTTTTAAACAATTTTTTTCTATTTTAGTAAATAATATTGAATTAATAAAATAACCCATTTATTCTGTAAATAGATGTGAAAAAGTAAAGGCTCAATTGATGTTTATTACGTAAATTTGTTGTCGATGATGATAAAAAAATCCGTTTCTTTATGATTTCAATAAATCATAAAAATTAAATGAAATCGAATTTTCTAATTTAAACAAAAAATGTGTATGTACAGGAATTCAAAATTAAATACCATGAATCATTAAATACTTAAAAATAAAATAATTAACGAAACCCTCCATTACATTTTTTTTTAAATAATTTCTTAAAGGAGTCTTACTTGAAAGTTTCAGCCTTATATTATATAAATTTAAGTTAATTTCTGCTATTTAATTTTGAAAGAAATACCTGTATATAAAAAAATAATCTCTTTCTCGCTATCAAACTGTAAAATAATTATTCTGAGGGGAACGATAAAAATCGTCAATTACTATTAAAAAGGCAACTCCCTCGGAATCCGATTTTTAACGAAAAGAAAAAAAAAATATTTAAAAAAATATCTCTTTAAGCACAAGACGCAATACACAATACTTAAAATAAAATAATTAATAAGGATTTCAATACAGAAGTGTTCCAAAAAACGAGATTTAAAAAGAAAAGTAATGAAAAAAAGAAGACGGAAACGGTTACATATTTCCTTTTTCGAAAAAGATAAAAAAAATTAACGATTGATAAATGAAATGTGAAAAGACCTTCTTTGTAGGCCTCTAAAATAGTGGTTAGTCGTATCCTGTAGCGCTTTTTATCCGTAACTTTTCCCCCGAAAACGAAAAAAAAAGGGAGGGAAAAAAATCAAGGATAAATAGTTCGGCGTTAAACTTAGATGAAATACTTTTGTGTCCTCCCTCTCCCCCCCTTTATATATTTAAATATAAATAAAATCGGCTGTGGTATTTCATTTCGAAAAGACCGTTTTCAGATCACCAAAATCGAAGAAGAAATGATGGTTTCGTTTATTTGAAAAATAATGCCGTGTTTTTATTTTGAAATTGTTTCTGGTCTTGTATCTAAAATTAACTAAAAAATTATTATAAATTTAAATAAACGACTCACCCTTTTTTTGTAAGTGTGCGTACCTTATTACATCTGTGTGGGATAAATACATTCTATTTTATAAGGATTATGTATCATTATTTCGTCACACGATGTTTTTTCAAATAAAAATGGCTCATAAGTTATATAATTTTGTTTTTAATTATTTAACACATCTTGCGCGAGCGCTTTGCCACCAAAGTCTTACCGTGTAAGGGTTGTCAATACCATGCAAAACGACTTTAGTCGCTTCCCGCGCAAGATCTGTTAAAAAAATATTCCAAATCTACACAAACTCAACCATAAAGTAATTCAACTAGTTGCAGAGCAATGTTATTCTAAAACAAGTCAACCCAACCCTAAATTAGACAAAAAGCAACCCAATCCAACTTCGTACCAACACTAATAATAACGCAACTTCAAAGCTAAATCATATCAAAAATAAAGTAATCTAGCTCCAAAGCAACCCTATTCAATTCCAAAGTAATGTAACCTAAAATGAAGCAAACCCTACAACTGTTAACTCATTTTAATCTAATTTATCTATGTATAATGATTATGCAAGCTGAAGCCAACTTTAAACTAACCTAACCTAACCCCAAAAAGTAACCCAATTCTAAACCACGGCAACCGAAAAACAAATAGATGAAGTTGGTTCTCTATTATATTGGCTCTCGTATTTATGGTCTCCAAGATAATGTCCAGGTATTTTCTGCTGTTCTGCAAGATTGGTCATTTGACAAACATTTTCCCATCTTTCTATCTCGACTTCTGGTAATTAATGTTGGTTTCGAAAACTGCTTTACACACTTAACAATTTACGTTAGAAAAGTTTTACGTCATGACGAGGACACATGTACGTTAGAAACGACCCATTCTAGCACGTCGTGTTGAAGTCCGCACTTGTTGGATTACGGGCTCAAAATTCAAACCGCGATGAATAGCAGCTTTGCATATTAGTCGTATAATGGGAATCAATGACCAAGAATTTAAGAATTCATAACCTATGTATGAAGCTCGCCAACATAACCGTGTCGTCAACCAAGGAATTTTTAAAATATCCTGCAATTGAAACAGCACCTCTGTGGCATCTTCATTAATCTTCTATTGAGGTCAGAATTTGGTTGATTTATCAGCTTTACTTTTAACATTATTGAATTTGATGGAATGCGATATTAAATGCGTCATAAAAGCTGAATTTGATAAAAAGGCAAATTTTTATGCAATGATATTACAATCAAAAATTATCATTTATAGATGATATAAGCAATGTATTTTATAGGGTAATTACAAAAATGTAACATTTCCTAGAATTATTGACGTCATTGATAAAACTCCCTTTATCACATTTTAAGAGAATTTTTATAAACGTAATAAACAAATCACTTAAAAATCGACTTTATTTTTAAAATCAATTGACTCATTCGTTTGAATTTGACCCAGTTGTAAACGGTCCGATTAAATTGGCAGGATATTTAAATTTGTAACACGTAAACCATAGTTTATTTGTCTTTTTGGAATGTTAATGTAAGGTTAGAAAATAGAATCAAGTATTTTTTTGCAAGTTTTAGAATAGAATTTCATAAAATCTGGTAACGCTCCAAAATATTCCTTGTTCTAAGTATTTTTGTTCGTTAACTAGAAACATGTGTTCATTTAAATTATCGATAATTTCCATATATCTATAAATAAACCTCCTCGTGTTTATTTAAACCGTCTATTTCCTCCGAATTTTCCTTATTTACGTAGTACACGTATTTATTTTTTAAAAGGGGAAAACGATTTTAGGGGTTGCCAACTGTAAAAATCATAAAACCACCTTACAAAAAGGAGAGCACCGAACCAATGATAGTTTTTCCAGAAAATAAAACAATTATGATTGTGTAAATAAAATAAACATCGTTTTGAAGATCACTTTACGGAAATTAAATACGTTTAATTCGTTTAGATAGTAAGAAACTTATCGTGGTTTTAAAATGCGAAACGTCTCAGTGATAAAAGTGTTATTACTAGGAATGTTAGGTTAGTGTAAGTTTTTTTTGGGTAATGGAATATCCCATGCAGGATTTCGATAACAGCGACGAAACAGAGTTTTTATTAGATCATTCGACAAACCATGGTAGCGAAATGGAAACGTATACCGTTCCAAATCGTACCAGAAAATCATCGCGCAGAAGAAATTTTTTAGGGGTTATATGTGGGTAAGTAGGAATTTTTGTTCGTCAAGGGTTGGTATCTCTCTTTATTATTTAGTTGACTGTCATTTTTTGACGTATGTCAAAGTAGAATACGTATAAAATCGTTTCTAAAATTACTTATAAATAAATATTGATGATATCAATTCCGTGTAAACACGATGGAGAGCGTTGACTCACAAAGTACGTTATCTAAACCGGCGTCAAAAGAGGACATACCGTTAATTACTAGATCAAACAGAGAGAGCTTTATCTTTAGGTAGGCATAAAAGAGTTATTATTTTTATTGAGTGATGTTGTGTAAATCGTGTTGCAGCTGTTGGTGCTCTTTGTGGCGAAGATGTTGCGGGCCGAGAGAATTACGACCACGGACTATATACTTGGGAAAACCCACAATGGGTCAATTCCCTGCAAACGCCATCAGAAACCAAAAATATAACTTTTTTACTTTTTTGCCGCTGGTGCTTTATCAGCAATTCAAATTCTTTTTGAACCTTTACTTTTTAATTATGGCAACGAGTCAATTTGTACCCGATATAAGAATTGGTTACCTATATACTTATTGGGGTCCTTTATGTTTTGTTTTATTCGTTACAATTTGCCGAGAAGCCATTGATGATTTACGAAGACACAAAAGAGATCAAGAAGTGAATAGTCAAAAAGTGAGGAGAATGTTTAATATCGATGGTGGTTTTGAAACCGTTGCCGCATCAAAATTAAAAGTAAAAAAATAAAAATAATCTCCCTTTTGTTTATGAATTAAATTTTATTTGTATATTTTATTTAGGTTGGAGATTTAATTTTAGTGGATAAAGAAGAACGAGTCCCTGCAGATTTAGTTCTTTTACGTACATCAGATCGTAGTGGCTCAGTTTTTGTTCGAACTGACCAATTAGATGGTGAAACTGATTGGAAATTACGCCTTGCGGTTCCAACCACTCAAAAATTACCCCACGATAAGGATTTAGTTCAATTAAATGCTTCGATTTATGCTGAAAAACCACAACGTGATATCCATTCATTTATTGGAACTTTTAGTCGACACGATGCGATGAATGGAGATGAAAGTCTTGATTTAAGAAATACTTTGTGGACAAACTGTATAATCGCTTCAGGTCAAGCTTTGGGTGTTGTAATTTATACAGGACCAGAAACTAGATCTGTTATGAATAATTCTCAACCGAGATCAAAAGTTGGCTTATTAGATATGGAATTAAACACTTTAACGAAGCTTTTATTCGCGGCCGTTGTTGGTTTAGCACTTTTAATGATGGTTTTAAAAGGATTCGCCGGACCGTGGTATCGATACATGTTTAGATTTATTCTTTTATTTTCATATATCATCCCAATAAGGTACGAATAGAATATGTTTTTGATATTGATTTCGTAATTTAGTTTTTTGATTTAGTTTACGAGTTAATTTGGATATGGGGAAATCTTATTATTCTTGGTCGATTGGTCGTGATCCTGCAATGAAAGGTACAGCTGTAAGATGCACAACGATTCCGGAAGAATTGGGACGAATTTCATATTTGCTAAGCGATAAAACAGGAACGTTAACTCAAAATTCGATGGTCTTAAAGAAGTTACATCTGGGAAACACATGTTATACACAAGATGGATTTACAGATGTACTAATGTTTTGGTTTTAATTACATTTAAAATAAAATTTCATTATAATTTTTAGTTATCTGCAATTCTTAAACTCGTTTATGCTTCAACAAGTGGTTCCGATACAAAACAAACAAGTAGTAAATTTAGGCGTTCCGATAATACACGGATCATTGACGGAGTTCAAGCTTTAGCTTTATGTCACAATGTAACTCCTGTTTATGAAGCTGGCGAGGATAGCGAAACAAGTTCAGTTGGGTCAGATGCGGAAGCAGATCAACATATTCAAATTCAAGTGCAAGACGTTCCGATGTCTTATCAAGCTTCAAGTCCCGACGAAGTGGCCCTTGTTCAATGGACGCAAGAAGTGGGGTTAACTTTAAGTCACCGCGACCTTCAAACGATACAATTAAAAGCGCCAAATGGGAAGCTGTTGAATTATTCCATCTTGCAAGTTTTTCCATTCGAAAGTGAAACAAAACGAATGGGAATTATTGTAAAAGATTTACAATCGGGAGAGATTGTTTTTTATTTAAAAGGAGCTGATGTGGTTATGGCTGCGATTGTCCAATATACAGATTGGTTAGAAGAGGAAGTTGGAAATATGGCTAGGGAAGGTTTAAGAACTTTGGTTGTTGCTAAAAAAATACTCTCCGAGGAACAATATAACGATTTTGAGGTATAGTTCATTTTTTTCTATAATACCTGTCAATTTGTTGTAAAGTTGGCAAAATTAACAGGGAGTTTTGTTTTATCATGTTTTGAAGTAAATATGTCACATTGACGTTTGAGCTTTGGTTATTCAAAAAGAAAAGGTGCAGTAAAAGTGTTGTGGGGTGTTTATTTGCCATTTATTTACCTAGAAAAGGTATTTTATTCTATTAATTACTTTGTATAGTAGAAACCAGGAGAGCTGGCAGTGACAGATCGCTTAAAAATGGTATGAATCTTTGATTATATATAATATGGATTGAGCTAACTGAATATATCTACTAACAAAAATGTGGCTCAAGGTGAATAGACGCAGATGGAAAGCTGTAATGTGAAAGTGTAACAAAGATAGACATAAAACGGTACTAAACAGACGGGCGCATGCGCACAAAAGTGTGAAACCTCTTCCATTTGACGTTTATCGTTTTGTTGTGTCCAGCCAGTCACACTGTTATGTTTAAAAATGTATTGTTTCGTGTGCAAAGTTCGCGATAATACGGTTTCACATCACCTGTAAATATTTATTTATAAATGTTACTTCTAATTGATAGTTTTTTATCTTATAAATTAACGCACGCCCATTATATGTCAGTACGCTTCTATGTCTATCTCGGTTCGATCACCTTGCGCAAGCTATCTCTCTCGTTGGCTCAATCTATATTATATATAATCAAAGGTATGAATCAAGATATGGACGTATGACTTAGATTATTTCACCACATACATTTAAATGTAGGTTATGTTAGTAATGGAGGTTATATGTCAAACATTGTCAAAGATATTTAATGATTTTCCTTTAAAAAAAAACATTTTCGGCTTGTGAAAACACTAACAGATTCATGACAACGGTCACAAGACGTTTCGATTTGAGGTTATAATTATAGAGTTACATCCCTTAAGGAACGTTTTCGTAAGGACAAATCCGGCCGACTTGTCGGCCCGACATGTTTGTTGGCCAACAAGTTGTCAAAATTAACGTGTGTTTACGTAGTTACTTGTCGGCAACCGACATGTCGTGGAAACGATCTGAAAATCGAACTCTGCAGTTAGCATCAAGGTGGCAGACGATCAAGTCGAACAAGTAGTGTCAGCATTAATTTTCTTTAATTCATTTTGATGCTATTTTTCGTGCTAATATAAAAAATTTTTGTAATTTTCATGTACAGTTTTCAACTGATGATGAGAGAACACTCTCGAAACTAGTTTTGAAATAAAATACTACAAGCAAGAGTGAAGTAAACTTTTTATTTTATTGAAATGACTTGCAACATGGATTCCCAACATAATATATGATCACAACACAACCGACAAGTCGGCCGATATGTTGTGTCCTTACGAAAACAAGGCTTTAGAAGAACAGACGTACTTTTTCGACATGGCCATTTGAATTGTACAGCAGACATATTGAACTAATGCTATCTCTTTCTAACACACATTACTCTCTAGCGGTTTGTGAACTACGTATGGCATTTGTAAGAGCGGAAAACGATGATTTACTGCCAGCTCTCGTGGCGTCTACTATAGCACGTTTTTACAACAAATATGTACAGGGTGTTCCAATTTCGATGTCCGCATAGGCTATCTCCGAAACTAAAAGAGATACAAAAAAAGTAGCTTACATGTCATGATCTCGTTTGTCGAGAAAATGCTAATGCCGAAAACTGCGAACAGCTATCGTCTTTTGTTTTCGTCCTATCGGCAAAAATTGAAAATTTTGCGAAAACGACAATCGCGAATGTCTCACTTTTCACTTATCTCACTTATTATCAAAGATAGAGTATTATAATTAAAACATTATATGGGCAACTTTTTACGAAGAATTGAGTGGCGTAGGTAGAATTTTTTTCCCATCTTTTATTTTCGAGATCTTAGACGTAACTTTATTTTTTTAAATGGAAACCATAGTTGGCTATGACCTAAAATAATTTGTTATTTTCTTCTGATAACAAATATATATAGTTTGTGGGGTATATTTCTTATAGTTATTGAATAATTAACAAAAATTCATTTTGTTCCATCTAAATCTAATGTATGTATTTAAAAGTTAATGTTGCTATGGTGATAACCATACATACTATGATGGAACATAATGTATCAATTTGTTTTGTTCT